CCCACTCCCCCTGCTTGTGTTCCTTCTCTCACTGTTTCTCTCTCTGTCAAATAAATAAATAAAATCTTTAAAAAAAAAAAAAACGTGAACCTGAGCCCAATGAAGCCCGTAGATCTCGTGGCCACTCGAGAGGAAGTACGCGGGACCGAGGAGCGCCACACGGTGCCACGAGCAAGAAATGGACCGCTCCCACCACGGGGCCGTGCAGCTTCAACGGCCTGGTGTCTCCAACAATGGTGGAAACGTTACCGAGAGAGAGGAGGAAACTATGATGAATTATGACACTTAGAGACCTGTCAGCCAAGTGTCATCTTTGGACTTTGGATCCTGATTTAGACAAATCCACTTTAAAAAAAAACACATTTTTGAGACCCAAATCAGGGAAAATTGGGCGCAGAATGGGTACTAGGTGATTTTAATGAATGGGGAGTGTTATTAGACATAATAATGGTATTGTGTCACTTCTTTAAATCCTGTTAGAGGTACGAATAAGCACTGAGCCTCTTTCTTTCAGGGGAGCAGAGGACTGGATGGTTATCAAGGCCCCGACGGGCCCCCAGGACCCAAGGTGAGCTCGGTCTTCCTTTGGCTGGCATTCGGATCACCTGCCAGTCACCCTGTTGGAGGAGGCATCCTCCATCCTGTGTGATACACGATAAGCCAGCACACGACACCCAGCCCTGGACAGATGCGGTGGACACGGATTTATTAGTCACATGCATCAAGGCCTCACGATGCTGCGTGCCACGCAGGGGCATTTGGAAGTCACAGCCTGGGGCAGAGCGAACCAGTGGGGCTGTGGGAGCAGGCTTCGTAGTAACAAGAGGGTGGGATACCCCCTGTTCCCAAGGGAGAATATGATTAACTTGTGTGAATAATTCCATGGGCTGGCAAGGAGGTGACACTCCATCAGTTGAGGACTAGGTGGGACACAGCTGGTCCAGTGATGGGGATCCAGCCAGGTGGGGAGACTTTCCTCCTGGGGAGAGGGGCCTATCTGGTGAGGACAGGGCAATTCAGTGGTTAGGCCTTTGGGGCCCTGGGAGACTCAAGAAAGTTTAGGTCTTACCATCCAGATGGTATTAGGTCAGTGTATCGTGGTATCGCACCTGCCCCCCTGTGGGGGTGCTCAGATACCGTGATCAATAATGGAGTCATCCGACAGTACAGAAAATAGCCAGCTGACCGCCTCTGGTCCTCGACAAGGATTTCAAAGTGAGATTAGTATCTGCCCACTTTCTTGCCTCTCGGTGTGTCCGGCTGGTGTCCCTGCAAATACGCAGAGCATCCAAAAGTCCACAAGGCGGGTCTCACATTCTTCTGTTTTCCTCTTCTCTCCTCCAGGGAGAAGCGGGTGACCGCGGCCCCCCAGGTGCACCTGCTTACTTCCCTTACCCCTCCCTAATTAAAGGTTCGTATGTCTGCATCACACACGCATTCTCTTGTTTCGGACCCAGTTGTGAACTTGCAAGAAAGGTTTTCTAAGCAAAACAAAACAAAACAAAAAAGATGTTTAGAACATACCCTTTGGAGAACAGGAGTCTCATGTACAAGTGTCCTCACTGCTTGAATGTGGTGTCCCAGAGAGACCCCCATTTCACCTCTGCCAGAGAGAGTGCCCCCGGCACTCCAGCAGAGACCCCTTCCCCGGGAGATTCCCTCGTTTCTGCATACCTTGTGCAGACTCTGCTTTGCTATCTGTACTATCACTGAAGAAACCCAGTCCTCCTGGACCTCGGGCTTCATGGCAACAGCCCCAGCCACCCTCACTCCTTTCTGCCCCATGGGCACCGAGATGCTTCTGCCCTCTGCTTGCCAGTCTGAACCCCAAATTGGCCATAATCTGTAGTCTGTAAACAGCCACATCCTTTGAACCTTCGAGGAATCCCCATGTGTTTGCATGTGACCAACTGCCCAGAAGATGCTCCCACTGTCCCAGTGGACCCCTGAGTGTACATGAAGGGCTTTGCGTGTGGTGTGGCTAATGCCCATGTTATTATTTTACTCAGCCTTCCAGACTGGCAGGATCGCACCAAAATATTCTAATTCTGTGATAAGAGCAGTGACCTCAGAACCTTTTTGAATATGAGTCCTTCCAGGTTAAAAAAAAAATGTTTTCAGCACCCGTCTGAATAATCTGAATATCCTGATAAAGGATAATTTATCTGTGTTGTATGGAGCTCTGTGAGGGCAGCGATTTTCGCCATCGTGGTTCACTGCAGCATCCCCAATTTCTGGAAGGGTACCAGGCAGATAGTAGGTTACCTGAATGGACTGAATACTGTACGTACTACCTCAGACGCCTCAGAAAGGGATTTTTTTTTTAAAGATTTTATTTATTTATTTATTTGACAGAGAGAGAC